GATTCTCTTGTGAATAACCATTTCTTGACAAACAATTATTCAAGAGTTAGTGTAGCTTTTTATCAAAACACTTCATAAATTGGTCCTAGTTGGTCTTTGTCTTATCCAAGATTTCACAACTTTCCACATTTGATGAATGTTATAAACCTTATTAATACTTTTTCACTTGACGTCACAATCTTAACTTTAAGACTTGTTATTGGAATGAAGTACGATTGACCTTTTGATTTAACCATTTCTTCAATTCTTGATTCCTCTTCTTAGACATACAATTGTGCTAAGACTCACTTAGAGGATCAATTAAGATATAGTTCTTAATCATTAAGACCTATCATAAAGCATAAAACGTACTCTCCCTTCTTCTTAGAATGGAGAAACTTTTACCTTTCTGCCTACTTGATTCTTCTTATTCGTGATGCTATTGATTTAAACTTTTTTCAATTAATTCATAATTACACTTAATCTTATAAGTATAATCATATTTACTAAACCTTTAGTAAATCATGACGAATATCTTTGTTATTCTTGAGGTGGACTTTGATCAACACACAACTTTGTGTGCTCGATCTCATAGTCCTTTCACCTGACACTTTGTCAATGAATTAGTCTAATTTCCAAATATGAAATTTCTCATTCATCATGCAACCAAGTTGCATGATTCCAAATTTATGTCCAATTGAAATTTGGGCGATGAGAAACTCTCCCTATTTGGTAAATTCTTGACATTTCCATAAATAATATAAACAAGAATCATATCCATTTGTTGTAGAAATATGCAAACACCAATTTTCATAACGATTTCATTGCAAGGAAATAAACAAATAAATAAATCAAACGAAACTTTATTTTATTTATAAAAGTAGCGGAAAACATTTGTCCTTACAATGCAAAATCCATTGAAAACTATATATTTAAAATTTTCCTAACAACTCTATCATAACTACCTAAGCTCAAAATCTAAACTTCAAGTCCATGCGATCAAGATCCATTTCTTGTAATTAGATTCATCTTGCTCTTTCACCAAGCTTCCTTTCTTTTCACCGATCCTGAAAAACATTCAAATGCAACCTTATCACATCATGTATTAAGAATCACTGAATAGGAACTTAACGGAGTTAGATAGTGGATTTCACCTGAAGCACAACCACACTCTTTGACTCTCCCATCTTCTGGAATCTTCAGGCTCTTAGGGCAGACTTGTATCCAATGCCCTTTCTTTTGGCAGCAAACGCAGGTCGGTTCTCCTAGAACGTCCTCGGAAGTATGGTTGGTTGACTTTCCCAACAAATACGCTCCATTGCTTCACCAAATCATTTCTGATTCAGCACCAATGAGCATGTAAGTTAGGTCAATGAGGTTGTCGTCATGATCCATCATATAATACTTTCTTTTGAACTCATTATATGATTCAGGAAGTGACTGCAAAACCCAATTCACAACTAACTCATCTGGGAATGACACATCCAACATTATCAACCTATCAATGTGTGATTTCATTCCTAGAACGTGGGCACACACGGGTTTACCATCTTCATGTTTCATTTTGCAATAGGGATTTAGTGATATTGAACCTTTCAATTCTTCGATCTTGTGGGTTATGGAGAATAATTGGAGGAGGTGGAGGAAGTGAAGCATGATTTCTTGTTCCTCGATTGAATCGTGGACTACCATCTTCATGTGGAATGCTTGTTCCACATGATTTAGGAAGACCGTAGTTGTCGAACTTTGACATCTACAAAATGGGAGAAAACGACTTCAAGTTAGTTGATTGATTGAGTCCTTAGTAAATCACCCAAATGAGATACTAAGGCTAGGACCCAACACAATATGCTACAACCTAGAAAAGGGATGCCGTAATCTAGTTGCAGAATATTTGAAGTTAAGTGAATGACGATTCACCAATTTCCACCATGAAAAACGAAAAAGAAATTTAAGTTTTAAATCTATGAAAACTCCTAGAACCTTTGAGATTCATTGAACATTTCAATGGCATGTTTAAATCTTGATATGCCCCTCTTGTTTGTGACTGGGATGCCGAGGATCACAAAACGGGTGTGAATAACCATGCAAACTTACATGGTTCCCTCACATGTTACAGTCACCTATTCGATGTGCCGGTAAACCACACATGCTCCACCGAACTATGACAAACATTGAGTCACCCTTTGCTACCTTTGCTTAGAACCATTTAGTGTGCCGGTAAACCACACACGCTCCACTAACGTGTTCGTAAGGGCACAAAGTGTAATTTCATGGAATTGCATCAATTCACTTTGCCTAAGTAACTAAGATTGGGAATTTGTAAAACATTTAGTTACTTTTATATTTCATTATACTTATAATGGAAGGTTTCGTCCTATCCTACCCGTTCGGCTAACGACCATCCACTAGTCAAGAGTGCGGTGGGTAAGAGTGGATACCCATTCAATCGCCATTTTATAGGCAATTTCCTTAAACACCCCTCACAGACCAGCTTCGTGAATGAGACCTACTAACGGTAAGACTGACTATTACTCATACATATATATAATGTTAGACTTTTAATGTTATATATAGTACAGTGTGTATTTTACACTTTTTAAAATACTATGTGGTCAAATTTAATAATTATACCTTTAATTCAATTAAATTGTAAACCTAAACTTTTATGGATTTATTAAACTTCTTTTAATTATACATCTTAATTAATTAATAAAACCATAAGGGTGTGATTTGAACTTTTCAAAACAATACTAGGGTTTTAGAATTTAACATTCCTATATTAAACCTTTTAAATTCCAAAACTTGAGGGCAAGTTTTGAAACATTTCAAAACATTAAGGTTATAATTTAAATATACATCAAAATTAAACTTTTAATCAAAATTTAAATTCCAAAACTTGAGGGCAAGTTTTGAAACCTTTTCAAATCATTAGGGTTTCAACTATTTAAATTTCAAAACAACAAAACTTTTGAGTTCAAATTTAAACTTTAAAACCTAAAGGGGAAAATATGAAACTTTTCATAACAACAAGGATCCAATAACAAATAATCTAAATTAACATTTAATCACATAATTATCCATATTTGATTTATTTAATGATTTCTTTCAAAACAATTTACCAATTTAATCAAAATAATTAATCAATTATCACATAACGAAACAAATATTTTATTAATTGATAAATATCTTCAATTAGATCAAGAATATACTCATATATATATATATATATATATATATATATATATATATATATATATATCATAAAATCGGATTTATATTGATCTAATATGATAAAGGCAAGTATCTCAAAGATAAACGGCAAGAAATCCTGAAAATAGCTCCATCTGACGCTCAAACTCGCCGAGTAACCCCATGGACTCGCCGAGTCCACAGTGGGACTCGCTGAGTCTATGACGCAGAACCACAAAAATCAAATTTTTTCAACATACAAGGCATCAATACAATAGAAACCAATCTAGGCTCTGATACCGCTGATGGGTTTTGGTCACAAGAACATCCTATGTGCTCATACAAACCCTAATGCTTGGATCTAGGTTTCTCTATTGTACATGCAAGTTATCCAAGACTATAAACCCTAATTCTAGCATTCAAGTAATCATATTAACATGCAATTAGGTTTAAGATCATACCTTGATTGTTATGTAGCAATAACAATCTCAATTCCTCCTTCTATTGACTTTAGAAAGCTTAGAGCCACAAATGTCACTCCTCTAATGGTTCACAAACACCGTAAGCAAGAGGATGAAGAGGGGAGAGGATGGAGGCTGCCCAAAACGTGTTCTAACCCTACAAGAAGTCTTCTCTACGTTTTTGAGCCTTAAGGGTTCTATATATAGTGAGGCTATTAGGGTTATCTAACAAGGAAACCCTAATTTGGATGCTTAAGCCCTAAGCAACCCAGAGACTCCTTTAATTAAGGCCTTGGACGATTTCCTTATGGGCTTCCCCATAGAATTCGTCCACTCCTTAATTTAAGACAACCCATAGCCCAAATTGCAATTATCTTATAATTACAATTCCAGTCCCTTAAGTTTAATTAATCTATTTTAGTCACAAAACTAATTACTAATTAATTATTGACTAATATTAATTAAACAATATGATTTCTCATTTAATATATTATTCTCATAATACATTAATAAATTATATTTAATCCTTTCTCTCCATAATTCATCCTATCAAGTTGCTTTGGTGAAGGCAACCCAAAAGGACCATGCACCATCGGGTCAAGTACATACCAAAATAGTTATGGACTTAGACACTAATCCAACATAATAATGGGTAAGATTTTGATAAACAAAATATTTGATTCGAATTGAGTTTCACATTATTTCGAACTACCATTATATCTTAGGGAACCTGATAAAAGACATATCAAAATCATTTAGCTGTTTAAACAAGGGATAATCACTTAAAAGGGTAATATATTTTTCGATTTATACACATTTGGTCATTGAGTTTTTTTCGTCCACATTTAACCCTTCAACTTTTTAAACTGTACACATTCAGTCCTTATTACCAGTTACTCTAGGTTAGCCGGGAAAATAACTTAATAGGGTAATACATTTATCATTTTGTACAGATTTAGTCCTTAATATTATTGTACGCATTTAGTCCTTAATATTTTTTTGTTTCAAAATATGGATAATGACACTGTAGCATATAAAAGCTTTGATATTTGGCTAATTTGGTCATTAAAGTGTTTTTTTGGTACATAAGACCACTAAACTCGTTTATGACCTGTCAATTTAGTCATTTTCCATACTTTTAAATGGTTTCTCGGTTGACATTTTATATGTGTCAATTAATATTTATTTTTTGGCTAATCTGATGCCACGCGAGATATGCCATGTCAATAAATGATATACGATGCTTAAAACCTATCATCTTCAGCTATTGAACTTCACTTGTCTTCATTATTCAGCTGTAAACAAAACTTATTTAGGGTTTGTAAGGCATTTTTTTGACCGAGCTGAAGAACCAAAGAAGTCGCAACAATGGCACAATTAGAACCTAATGGAGTCTTTTCAATGGTGGAACTCAACTACCAAGGGGTATTTAATCGAAATCCTTTCTCTTACACTGGTGATGTGAAAACCATGTTCACTGATGTCCACTTTTCTTCTATGACTTATTCTGATTTTGTAACCTTCTGCGAACATTTCAAGCATGAAAAGTGTAAAAAGTTATACTACTGTGAACCGGGCAATTCCCTGATGGAAGGTCTTAATCCCATTTTAGATGATGTAGAATACGCTGCTTTTATTTTTGATGCTTATGGAATAAATGGTTTAATTTCGGTTTATGTAGATCATATTGGGGTTGGTGTTGATGGGTGGTTTGATGATGAAGATAATAATGATGATGAACGTGAGTCTTGTATTGATGGTGAAAATAAAGATAACATAGATGAACTTAGGAATGTTGCCTTTGAATTTAATGAGGATGTAGTGCATATGAATAGTACATAAAATGATCATTTCTTGAGTAAGTTATGTGTTGTTGAGAAGGAGGATAAAAACATTGTAGATAATGATAATGGGAGAGAATTTGAACCTAAAATCCAAACTTATTCCATATTTAATGAGCTATTGCACTGAAAAGAACAAAAATCAATTCTAGGAATGAGATTTAAGGGTCTAGGGCAAGTAAAATCAATGTTGTGAAACTATGATGTGGCTAATGGATATCAATTGTATTTTAAAAAAAAAAGATAGGAAAAGACTTTTGGTGAGGTATAGCAGGGGTGCTTGTATATTTAGATTATGGGCTTCTTGGATGAGTGATGAAGATAGTTTCCAAATCATGTCACTAAAAGCTTATCATAATTGTGCTAAGAAATTCAAGTTTAGATCATTTGTGACATATACATGGATTGGGAGTCACTATACCAAAGAGATTGTACATAGTCAGAAAATGAATGTAAGGAAGCTTAGAGTAAAGGCAATGACCAAGTTTGGTATCCAAGTTAGTATGGGCTAATGTAGGAGAGCAAAGAAGTATGCAATAAATCTTGTTGAAGGTAGCCTTGTTGAGCATTATCGTAAGCTATCATCATATGGTCATGAGATTTTAAGGACAAATCCTGGGTCAACTGTGAAACTAGATGTGGAGGATGGTCCAGATGGAAAGAAATATTTTAGAAAGTTCTATGTTTGTTTTCAAGGAGTTAAAAAAGGATGAATTAAAGGGTGTAGAAGGATAATAGGTCTTGATGGATGTTTTCTTAAAGGTGTTTTGTAAGGGGGAATTGCTTTATGCTATTGGGAGGGATTCAATTGAAAAGATATACCCTATTGCTTGGGCAGTGGTTAGTGTGGAGAACAAGCATAATTGGAAGTGGTTTTTAGAGCTTCTCACTGATGATAAAAAAAGTTGAATTTAGGCAATGGCTTCAATTTAATGTTAGGACAACATAAGGTTAGTATTTTACATAGTAATTTATGTATATTTATTTTATACTATTTGATTTAAAAGTTTTTATTAATATAGGGTTTGATTGAGGTTGTTAAAGAGTTTCTTCCATATGTAGAGCATAGGCAGTGTGTTAGACATATTTGCCAAAATTTGCAGAAGAGATTCACTAGTGCCATATATCATACCTTGTTTTGGAGAGAATCTAAAGCCACAACTGAGCATACTTTTAAAGTGGTGATGAAGGACATTGAGACATTGAACCTAGATGCTCATCAATATCTCATGGAGAAAGATCCTAAAACATGATCAAGAGCTTTCTTTCAAGCTAGAAGGTGTTGTGATGTAGTTGAAAATGGCTTCTGTGAAAGTTTTAATGTTGTAATAGTAGATGCTAGGAAGAAGCCCATAAAACCATGTTAGAGGAGTTAACATTATACATGATGGACAGATTGTACAACATGAAATTAAAAGGACAACAATTGTGAAATCATATTTGTCTAGAGATAAGGGATAATTTGAATTTGTTTAAAAAATTCAGAGGCATTATCAGGTACTACCTAGTGGATTAAACCAGTTTGAGGTTAGGGGAGTGGGTTTAGAAAGGAAAACATGTTCATGTAGGTTGTGGTAATTGAATGGATATTGATGTTCTCATTATGTAGCTAGCATATCATATCTTAATAGGGATATATAAGTCTATGTAGAAAACATGTATAACACCACCACATTATGAAGGCATACAGTTACATAATTGCCCTTATGAATGGCAGTGACATTTGGCTAGAGACAAATTATACTTAAATTGCCTCCTATTAGTAGAAGGATGCCTGGTAGGCTAGCTACTAAGAGGAAGAAATCCATTACCAAGAATACAACAAAATACATGGTTTCTAAGGTTGGAAAGAAAACCAGATGTAGTATATGCAAGGAGATAGGTCATACCAAGGCTACTTGTCCACAGAGAAGGCCCCAAAAGTTAAACGTGAAGAGACAGAAGAAACAAAAAGTTTGTGTCAAGCAAAATGCAGGATAGGTAAATCCATTTAAAATTTAAATTTGTTTACATATGATTTGCCACTAACATTATTATATCATGTCATATAGGGTAGTAGAAGTGAACCTCAACAACATGAAGAGGTTGAAATGACTCTAATTGAGATGGACACTACTCAAAACGATATGCAAGTTACTCCTAATGATGTTGAATCCAATAGTGCAAGGGATTTTAGTCAGTCTATAAAAGTTACTCCACCTAGAAGTTATGAAGGTGATGAGGGTGTTGTAGGTGAGGAAGTTGAGGAGGGTGGTAATGTTCAAGATGATAAAGTTATTCCTAATGTCCAAGTTGTTTATAATGTTTAAATTCAATAGGTTGTTCCTATTATCCAGGTTCAGCAGGTTAGGGTTAGACCAATTTCAGAGATTTTGAAGAAGATAAGGAGCAGAAAGTTAGAGAGAATCCTGAAGTTGGAATTAGGCAAGAGAATTGGTGGTGTTGATGATCCAGGAAATTCTAAGGGAAAAGCTCTTTTAATTGATTAGTGTTGAATTTGTCTTTGTGCTATTTGGATTTAAAGTATGTGTATTAGGATTATGGTAATTTGGATTTAAAGTATGTGTATTAGGATAATGGTTAGTTGGATTTAATGTGTGTGTATCTGGATTGTTGATTGAATCTAAAGTAATTGTGTTTGTTAAATACATGTGATGTGATCAGGGTATTTTGGTCATTTATGAATGTGTGTTGTTTTTTTTAAGTTAACTCATGACATAAAAGGGTATTTTGGCCATTTATGAATGCATGTTGGCTTTTTAAGTTAACTCCTAACATAAAAGGGTATTTTGGTCATTTATGAATGCATATTGCTTTTTTATGTTAACTCATGACATAATAGGGTATTTTGGTCATTTATGAATGCATGTTTCCTTTTTAAGTTGACTCATGCCATAAAAGGGTATTTTGGTCATTTATGATTGCATGTTGTTTTTTAAGTAAATTCATGACATAAAATGGTATTTGGTCACTTATGAATGCATGTTGCATTTTTAAGTAAACTCACGACATAAAAGGGTATTTTGGTCACTTAAGAAATTATGTTGCCTTTTAAGTAAAATCATAACATAAAATGGTTGGTCACTGATGAATGTATGTTGCCTTTTAAGTAAACTGTTGACAAGAAATGATATTTTGGTCACTTATGAAAGTATGTTTCCTTTTTAAATAAACTCATGACACATGGCTTTGAATATTTCTGCATGGAAAAATTTGGAATAATGTGCATGTGTAACGCCGTAAAAATTCAAACAATTTTTCCCTTTTTAAAACCATATAAATTCATTCATAATCATTATCAAGAAAACAATGTATCAACATTATCTCATTACAAATCCCCAAAATCATAACATATCAATAAAACTCCACGCGCGTGTGTGTACTAATCATGTCGGCGCCTTCCTCCGATCCTCACTAGAACCTGAAACACATAACACAAAACACTGTAAGCACGAAGCTTAGTGAGTTTCCCAATATACCGCACATAACACATACTAGCCACTCGAGGCTATAACTCTATGGGACCTTGGGCCCTAACTCTATGGACCCTCTGGTCCTAGCTCTGTGAACCCTCCGGTTCTAACTCTGGTATACTCTGATATACACACGGCATAAATCACATAGAAATAATGCAGTGCAGCACATCATATAAATAGCATGCAATAATTCTGTCGCATAACTCTAATTACCACTCATGATAAAGTATAGTGAGAAGACTCACCTCGGATGTCTCGGTAATATCTCGTTCGCGTAACACTGATCTAGCCTCTACCAAAATACATAAACGATCATCCCAATTAATAACGGCTCTCCAGGCTAGAGTAAATCCTCACACGTCTTCTAAGAAGGCTAAAAGACCATTTTACCCTTCAACCAGTTCACAAGTCCAATTGTTGACCATATCCTAAAAGTCAACAAAATTCAACGGTTAACTCTTTGACCAGACTTACCGAGTGCACAATTGTGACTCGGCGAGTTCAGTCATGAACTCACATCCTCAAAATCTCCAATGACTCACCAAGCCACTTCCCAAACTCAGCGAGTTACCATCTGTGTGATTCATGGGGAAAAACTATCCTACTCGCCGAGTCTGTTCTTGGACTCAGCGAGTTCATGCCATGCTCAAACTCAATTGACCTCCTAAGGTCAGATCCGTTCCTCTAACCCATAGATCTGGCCTCTTTAAGCAAGATAAATACGTAAAGTTTGGATCTTGATGACCATGCAAAGACCTAATGGCTCTATTTGAAGAAATGGCCTCAATATGCCATCCTAAGCTCATATCTCCCAATGACACCCATAAAGATCGAGGAGTTAAGGTCTCTGGACCTCTTTGGGTCAGATCCAAAGTCTCAACACAAGAAGGGACCAATTGCACCACAATCCATACTCTAAAGGGGCTAGAAACCCTAACTCTCAAAGATTAATACCAAAATGAAGAAGGATCGAAATATATACCTCAGTATGAAGTCCCTAGACTCTGAAATCCACAAAATAGCACCCTCTTTAGTTCCCTCTTGCCTTGGCCACCTTCTTCTTGCAAAAACACCCGCACAAGGATCAAAAATGACCTCTTCTTCCTCACAAACACTCTAGATCTCTTAGGGTTCCTCTCAGGGGTCTGGTAGCCGCAAATGGTGGCTATAATCCCCTTTAAATAGGTCCCAAACCCTGGGAATTTGGATTTATAGCGTGGACTCGCCGAGTCCGTTATTAAATCTGTCTGACCATCCGTGATCCTACTAGGCGAGTCTGAGCGCATACTCGTTGAGTCTCTCTCCAAAACTCAAAATAAATGCATAAAATAAGATACCTGGGAATCCAGATGTTACAATTCTCCCCCACTAGAATCAAAATTCATCCTCGAAGTCTCATTCCGCAAACAACTCTGGATGCTGCTCATGCATCTCTCGCTCCGGCTCCCAAGTCAGCTCGGACCCTCTTCGATGTTGCCACTGGACCTGCACCAAGGGCACTTCCTTGTTCCTCAAAACCTTGATCTTCTGATCTATAATCGCAACCGGTCTCTCAATGTAGTTTAGGCTCGCATCCACCTGGATATCCTCTAACAGTACCACCGCCGACTCATCGGCCACACACTTCCTCAACTGCGATACGTGGAAGGTGTCATGAATCTGACCTAACTCCGCAGGTAGCTCCAACCTGTAAGCTACTCTGCCCACTCTTGTGATCACCTTGAATGGACCAATATATTGAGGCCCTAACTTGCCCCTCCTCCTGAATCGGATCACTCCTTTCCAAGGAGATACCTTTAGGAGTACGAAGTCACCGACCTGGAACTCGAGCTCTGACTGACGTCTATCCGCATAACTCTTCTGTCGGCTCTAGGCCGTCAGTAACCTCTTCCTGACCTGCTGAATTTGCTCGGTTGTCTGAAGTACAATCTCTATGTTACCCATCACACATTGCCCTACCTCTCCCCAACAAATGGGAGTCCGACACCTCCTCCCATACAACATCTCAAAGGGTGGCATACCAATGCTCGAATGATGGTTGTTGTTATAGGAAAACTCTGCCAAGGGTAAGTACGTGTCCCAACTCACTCCGAAGTCCAATACACATGCCCGAAGCATGTCCTCGAGCGTCTGAATCATCCGCTCGCTCTGTCTGTCAGTCTGTGGGTGGTAGGCGGTACTAAAATGAAACTTCATGCCCAACTCCTCATGGAATTTCTTCCAGAATCTGGATGTGAAGGGTACATCTCGATTTGAGACAATCGAGATCAGTACTCCGTGCCACGGTACCACCTCCCTAACGTACAACTCTGCCAGCCTTTCCGTAGAAGAGTTATCACTGATGGCAAGGAAATGAGCGCTCTTCGTCAACCTGTCCACAATCACCCAAATTGCATCGACACCCCTAGCAGTCCTTGGCAATTTGGTGATAAAATCCATGGTAATCTATGTTGGATAAGGTGTCTAAGTCCATAACTATTTCTGGTATGTACTTGACCCGACCCGGCATGGTCCATTTGGGTTGCATGGCACCATGCAATTGGATAGACTAAATGAGAGAAATAACACTTGGAGATTATTAATATATTATAAGTTCTAATATATTAATAATATTATTTGATTAGTTTGATCAAGAATTAATTTAGAATTAATTAAGTGATCAAAAGATAACTAATTAAATATATGGGTTGATTATGTAAATCATCCATATCTTGTATAGTGGGCTAAAAGGCTCCATGGACTATCAAGTTGGGTTCCACCCATAGGATGCTCCATGGATGCTCCATGGGAGTTACAAACCCATGGGTCATGGAAATGAAGATTCATGACACATTAGGGTTTAACCCTAGGTGTGTCAACACTATATAAGTAACATGTCCTCCTCTCAAAATTGGCTACACTAAGAATAAAGAGGGCTTGGCCGATTTTGAAGAAGTGAGTATTCTCTCATAAGTTCTTCCAAGAGCATTTGGTGTTGTGTGAAGCATTTGAGGCATCACACTTGGGGTGCTAGGCTCACAAGGTTTCAAGGAACACAAACAACAACAAGGTAAGTTATTCTATCTATACTTTATGTTAAAATTGTTCCCCATGTATGCTAGATAGGAATATAACCTTGGAATTCAACTTTGCATGACAATTAGACAAACATAGATCCAAGGTTATTAGGGTTGCATGTACACTTAGGAAGTGTTAGAATGCTCAAAACCCATCAGTGGTATCAGAGCCTAGGCTTGTTTGTTCTTATTTGTGCTTAAAAGTTGAAAACAGAATCGGAAATCTTGCTGTCTGCGAATGGACTCGTCGAGTCTATAGGGGGGACTCGTCGAGTCCATGAGTATCTTCAACCAACTCGGCGAGTCAGTTTATGCACTCGGCGAGTAGGGTCGACTGAGTGCAGAATTTCGATTCAGTTGCTGGAAATGAATTAGAAACATTACCCTAAACTGTTTTGGTAATTGAAAACTTGTTTTTGGTGGTGTAATGTCTTTGCTAATTCATTTACAACAACTAGTTATCAAAATTACAAAGTTTTATGTAATTTTTGATTGTGTTCATATTCATGTTCTTGTTCTTATGATGTTTTAGATGATCATAGGAATTATTTGTAACCTATGTGGTAGATTAATTCTTGATCATAATGTGTTTTAATGGAGTCCATAACTTATCCTTAAGTTATGGAAAACCAAGAGTCACACTTGAGTTAAAACCATTAAGAAAACACAAGAGTTAGAAAAATGAAGAGTCTTCATTTTATTACTCTATTAAACTCATAAGTTACAAGAAATGAAAAGTTTTGAAAGTTACAAAACTTGCCCTCAAGTTTTGGAACAAGTAAAGTTAAGTTAAAACTTTAAGTTCCAACCCCTAGAATTTTAAAAGTTAAAATTCAACCCTTATACTTATATTATGATGATTTAATAATTATATATATATGTATAAGAATAAAGTCGTCTTACCGCTAGTACGCCTCATTCACGAAGCCGGTCTATAAGGTGGGTATAAGGTTGTTG